ATCGACAAAAGTATTTCCTTCTTGGATTTCTAGTTCCACGGGTATACTTCTTCGAGTACCTGCTTTATAGGTATTTTGTCTTTCTTCTTGCATTATACCTACTAATTCTTGTATGGAAATATTACTTACAGAAGCAGTAGATATAGGATAGCTTAATAACAAGAATTTATTAAGATAAGGTAATTTAGAATCAATAAACTTTTTACTAGTTTCAGGGTGTATATTTAAGACTCTTTTTAACTCAATTTTAGATTTAGCATGATAATAAAGAGTACTACATGTTAGATCATATACATATACAGGATCACCTTTTGAAGACCCAGCATTAACAACTCTTAAAGTATTTAAGTTAAATTCTTTATTTAATAAATAATATTGCTCTAAAATTAAAGCGTCTTGACTACTAAATTTATTACTATCAAGTTTAAAAATTATTAATTTAAAAGCTTTTAGTCCATATTTATCAAGTAAAGGTAAAAATTTCCCGGCTAAAGGAAAATTCCCATTAAAGTAATAATCTATCCTACGTCTTAGTAAATTAGATGAACCTACATATTTATCCCCGGTATTTTTATGTATAAACATATATACACCAAAGAAACCTTTATGTTTAGATTTTCCCGTCAATTCATCTAAAAGTTTGTAATTTTCTGGTGTAGATATAGGAAGATCAAATTCAACACCTTTAACTTTGAATAATTGGTTTAATTTAGAGTCAGTAACGACTAAACTTTGATTTAATAATATTTTATTCATTATTAATGAAGTAGTAGGTTCTCCACTATTGATATGTTCTAACGCTAAAGATTCTGGATTATTAGCTAAAGGTTTAATTGAACTAAAAGATCTTGCCCTCGCATAGTCAAACACTGTGCGGTGGGCGGATCTTGTTAAACATACAGTAGTTGCTAGAGAACCTCTATGCGTACGAGGCTTACTACAACAGTTTTACCTTATAAAAAAAAGAATGCTTTATGTGTGCTATCTTTATAACAAACTTGAAATTTTATTATTACATTAAAAATAAGTTTAGCAAACTATTGTAGAGAATTCCCTAAAAATATATTTATTAACAAATAAACATATTTTTATTTAACAAAAAATATAAGTAAATACTTAGCCAAAGGCTACCCCTTTATCCCTGCTGAACTCTCTTCACGGGACTATGCGGGGATTATGGCTCAGAAAGCCCGGAGGGAATATTTTTCTGCACCTTTTCAGGTGGGGGCTGACTATATCTTAAGCATTATTAATATTAATAATACCAACCACCGTTTAGTCGATGAACTGCATACCAAATAAGGCTGCGCCTATACTTGGTACTTGGCTGCGGATTGCCCATTGAATAATAAATCTTGATTTTCCCATACCACGAGTCATTACCTGTGCCACAAACTATGTTACCATGCTTGTTTGGATAAGATTTCTTTAGGGGTTTCCCGCAATTTGATGATTTATAACCATAGGTTCACTACAGTTCCGGCCATTGTTCGTTAAAGACCGTAAAAAAACCCCTTCTCTGTTTATAAAAACAGAGACTTGGTTTAGTCTACCAGGATAGGCATCACATTTGATACCTAATGAAGGGCAAGCAAAAGAATGTATAACGTCACCAGCAGTAATAATAAATCTTACATGTGTTAATTCAGGTAAGATTACACGATTATCTACTTCTAACATTCTTAATCTTCCTTCTTCCAAGTCAGTGTCGGGCACTATATATGAATCGAATTCTATAAATTCATCTGATGAATCTAAGAAATCAGGGTATTGGTAACTTCAATATCATTGGTGCATATTTATTATTAATAAATATTCCGACTGTACATTAAGCATCAAATAAATGACACCCACAAGTGCCCCAGTCTGTGGCAATAAATAATAAGAAAAAAATTTATTTACTGACAGTCTTGTATTCTTAATTATTACCCTCATTAAAAATATATTAACTGTTTTCACTCGCATCGCCAAAGAAAATTTGATATTTTCTTAGAGAATCCCGGCGGAAACTCAAAATTTAATAAAAAGTATAATTTTGTAATCATCGTTATGGACTTTCTGTACATAATACTGGACACAGGTTACGAATAATTAAAAACTATTTAGTAAATTTCGACTACCGTATATATGTTGAGCAGGTTAGTAAAATTTTATAATATATTAAAAAACCTCCTTTTTTTAAGTTTAAAAACTATAACCCTAATTTATACTTCATAGAAGAATGCATATGTGGTAATAAAATTTCTCTTAAAGCAGGTATAGATGAAGCTTTTATATAGATACAATAATTATTATTAATATTTAAAAGTTGAATAGTACAATCTAAATTAAACTTATCTTTAAGTATTTTTACCAACAATTCTACCTCTGTTAAAGAAAAACAATTAGTTGCTATTCTAACGCCGGGTTTAGCTCAACACCCGTCATCTGAAATTCAAACAGCTAAAGATAAAGGAGTCATGTAATTTTCCAACATAGGTTTTATAACTTTTTTACCTTTATGGTAAAAGATATCATGTATTCAATTAAAACTTCTAAATGTAAAAGTATTAAATTCATATCTATAGTGTACACAATCTATACCTTTATGCTTTAATTTTATAGTAGATCTTCTAGGTTCTAGATTAGAACAATAACCTAAATTGTAAAAAAAAGAATATAATCAAAATAAGTATTCTTTATTTTTACTACTTTGTCTATAGCATATTCTTGTTCCTTCTATGGATCTTCTATTACCGTAAGAATCACCTAACAATGAACCTATTACTATTGAAATAACATCTTGATTATGTGGACCTATTCTAGAACCAGCTTTCATTCTATTATGAAATGTACGATATTGAAAGTTATTTAAAATAAATATATTATATTTTCTTTGACCTTTTCAGGTATTTACTATTTTATTTAATATATACGGTTTAGGGCCACCCCGACCCTCTGCTAAAACTGACATTGAAGGATCACTCACTTCATCCATTAAGTATAATAATTTAAAAGAAGGGAAAGCAATTAACATAAGTATTACTGCTGGAGTTATTGTTCAAATTAACTCTATAAGCGTACCGTGGTTTAAATATTTGTGAGAAATAGGACTTTTTGTAGCCACATAGTTTCTTACTATAGATAATAGGACTCACCCTACAGCAAATAATATAATAACTAAATAATACATTATATTATCATGTAATTCAACCAGACCTTCCATTTGAGGTGTGGCACTATCTTGAAAATATATACCTCATGCACTAGGAGCGTCTAGATTAATATTTAACTGATTCAATAAAAGATTCATTTTAAATTTTAAAGGTTTGTCTATATTTATGCACTAATTATTATCGATAAATTTTTTATCCTTACTATTTATATATAGACCTGAAGAAATAACATTTTTAATTTATTATTAAGAAAAAAGGTGAGGGGAAGTCTAGTAAAAAAAAAAAGCTTGGCTGGATATCCTGGCTCCAACAGGGTACGACGAACAGTCGCTCTACCAATTGAACTATCTCCACTAATTATCCCTTTATAATATATACCTGGAAAACCAGAAGGGTAAGTAGAGGAGGGGGGCTATCCTAAATATAAAGATAGCCCCCCCCCCCACCTAAAAAAAATATTATCAATATTAATATTTATATGACTAGTACTGATATTTAATTATTTACGTCTACGAAGGGAGGCACAGGATGCGCATGCCTTGTAATATGCAGATAGTAAATGAAGTCAACAGTAGAATTCACGACACGATGTCCTCCGCTTAGAGTTCCTGTAGTTATTACCACAGGGTTAATTGGGGTGGCTCCCTCTTCAAAGTAAAAATTTGTCCTTGTTCCAGCCACGACGGGACCTATAGACATAAACCTTTTAACAATTAGGTCTTTACCAATATTATTTAGATTGGTTTTGTAAGATAAGAATCCAGGAAATTCGGAAGTATAATTCCTACTTGCGGGATGCTTAATATTTCAAATCTTCTGTAAAGTAACGCTTCTTACCACAGTATCTTACCTATGCATTTCAGCCGGATCTAGTCCGAGTTCTTTTAACTTATTAAAAAAATTACGTTTTTGAGTAGCTTTACTACTCATTAAATCAGGAAATATTATAGCATAAGGTACTAAGACGGCTACTCCCAAACATAATATAATAAGATTGGAGAAAGTTACTAAAAAAGATATTGTATTTAAATTATTCCCTATATAACCATCGGTGAACATTTCTTTAACTAAGAACAGATTATTCATTTTTCATTACAGATTTTGTATACCTCAATGAGGAAGTTAGTACCTAATATACTTACCTTACAGGTTACAAAAAAAATCTTTTCTAGATTCCTTACGAAAATAATCGAAAGCAAAAATTGACTTTCCGGTTATTCACAAAGATTTTGCTTATCTACTAAAATTAACGAGGCTACCACCAAAGGTTAACTTATTTACAAAACTATCGGATAATAATCAAAGGAAATTTCAAATTAGAGCTTCGAAGATTAGGTAAAAATTACGGCTAGTCGGAATCGAACCGACACACTCTATTTGGAAGACAGACATCCTACCATTAAATGATAGCCGTGATTAATTATAGCTAATAATTTCCTTATTCCATAAAGATTATAGGATATAAATTTTTTTGAAATAAGTCATAATATAACAACCCTCTCCCCCCCCCCACTTTCTTGAGGCATAGTAAGGAGAAGGGATATTAGCTAGATTTTGTAAGTAAAACACTTAATTTATATGTAAGAAGTTAAAATTAGATAAGACCAAGGATTATAGACCTTTAGTCCAGAATATGTTTAGGTAAACAAGTTTAAATATTTCTGGAGAGTATATAAAAATATCTTTTAAAGTTTTAAATTTGATTAATCTTCTATTATATCTCCGTATTTGACAAAAAAGTTTCAACTACCACGTAGCGCCAGTATTCACGAATTTATTAAATATATTTACCGTTTATAAATGTAATAATTCATTTAATAAAAAACTTCGGGGGGGGGATTACTTAAGTGCATACCAGATTCGAACTGGTATCATAACGGCCGAAACGTCAGGTTCTACCATTGAACTAATACACCTTTACTAGTCTTTATTCCTTGATCCTCCCTAGTAAAGTAATGCAGGGAGGGGGGGACTAGTAGAATATAATCATTAGGTAGCTTAAAGATTGCATACTAGGAAAAGAATAGTGGAAGCGGGGATAATTTTAAATCTAATTGTCCCCACCTCCATTGTAAGCAGAATTAGCACTAGAAGTATAAGTTACTTTCTATTACTTATTCTATGTTTGAAATAGTAGTAGAACTACTATTGCTTGAAATATTAGTATTCTGTTTACTATCGATTTTCAAAGCACCTTTTCCAAGCTCGTATACAAATCCTATAGTAACTATAACCAAAAATATTAAGACTATAATTAGTCCATACAAACTGTTTAAAGATTGGCTAACTGCAAATGGAAATACTAGAGTTATTTCTAGATCGAAAAGTAAAAAAACCAACCCAAAAATAAAAAACTTAACATTGAATTGAGATCTATTTTGTCCTAAGAAACTGTGGAATCCACACTCGAAACTTGAAAATTTCTCCGCATAGGGATTATGAGGAGCAAATAGTAAATTTAATACTAAAAATAGAATAGCTATAATACAAACGAATAGTATAAATAATGTAATTGAACTCATTTAAGAATTAAATAAAAATTGCACCAATATGGTACCCATACTTAATCATTCTTTATTCATAAATATAAATAGTAATATAATTAAACTAATTATAGAAATAGTAATAGCCAGTGGGCTAGACATAACTATATTTTTGGTATTAAATCTAATAGATTCAATTAAAACTGGTTTTTGATTAGAAGATTTTGCGCCGCCATATATTCTACCTACACTATCCTCTTTACTACTTAGTAAAGGATTTTGTTCAGCCTGCACAGGGAAAAAGAAAATTTCTTTTATTATACTTAAATAATATACAGCTCCAATTACACTAGTTAATATTGCAACAAAAGATAAAAATACGTAGCCATTATCTAAAGCTGCACTTAAAACCATCTGTTTAGCAAAAAACCCTAATAAAGGTGGTATACCTACAAAAGAAAATATAGTTATCGCTAAACTTAGTGATAAGATTGGATTTATATAGAAATATCCTTTTAATTGACTAATTAATTGTATTGGTGAATTATTTTTATCTAATAATTCCGGTTCATTTACTCTATTATTGTTTACATAAGAATATAAAGAAAATCCAATAGTAACTAAAATAATAAAGGCATTTAAATTACTTATTGAATATTGCATTAAGTAGAATATAAATGCTTGAGTAGATTCCACACTAGAAATACTTAGGGCTAATAAAATAAACCCTAAATGAGATATAGTACTATATGCGAATAATCTTTTGATTCGGTATTGTGTTAAACCTAATACCGTACCTACTATTAATGATAGTAAAGAACTTACAAGTAAACCGTATGTTCAATGAAAGTTTAATAAATAATTATTAGTATAATAAACTAGTTCTAATAAAAAGATAAAAATAGATATTTTGGCTATAATAGCTACAAAAGTAGTAACAATCGTAGGAATAGCGTCATAAACATCCACGGCACTCAAATTTATCATGCAGATTATTAAAAACAACTCTTTTTTTTTCGATAATTCCGGGCTAAAAGCATTTTTTTTTAAGAAGTCTTCTTTATTTTTATTAATAAAAACACAGGCTGGAACTGACAGAGGCGAGAGGTAGAGGGCTTCGTAATAAAAGTACCTAATATTACATCCCCTACCTATAAGGTACAGATAGCTCCGCTATCTAAGAATCTATAATTCTACCTTTGTTCATTCCAGCTTTAATTTGACAAATCTCCTTAAAACCTTCTTTGGTTAAATGAGATTTATTATTAATTAAGAGAGCTACTTTACATCAATCGGAAAAATCTAAAGATTTTACACCTATAATAGGATGTTTTGTAAAGAAAGGTATAATTTTTTCAAAATTATCCGATAAACCACGAGACTTATACTCAGTATAACTCTTGTAAGTATAAGCCTTACCAAACCCAAAATAATCTACTAGACTTTTCATCAAAAGCTCATCACGTGAATGTTGAATTAAGGCAAAAGTTAGAGATACACGTCCGATGCCTTCGTCTAAAGTTTGACTATCTTTAGAATTTCTTATACTTACAATAAAACTACCATCACCTGAAGTAAATCCTGCTACTCATTGAGGATCTATCGATTTGACATCTATGTTATCCAGTTGAGGTCTAACAACTGCAATGGTGTTAGGGAAAGCTTCTATCAATGTGGGTGTCAACCCTTTGTTTAGAGTAGCCCGTATATTAATAATAGCTTCTAATCCAGAAACTGTCAAGTGTTCCCTCGTTGCATAATCATAACTGCCTGTTTAAATAAAAGATAGTCCGCACGCTTATGAGTGATTAGAGGATATTTATCGAAGTGAGGTATAACTTGAGTAATAATCTGGTTAAGAGAACTAATTGTGAAATCAATACAACCATTTCTCTCTTTACTGATTCTTCCTACTCCCCCAAAAAAGGTTTGAAGATCTTTCAGTAACTCAAGGTCCCTTTTATGTAAATTAATAATAAAGTTAGCTTCAATTTGTCACCCTAAAGTTTGTCTAGGTGCTTTTCTAAGAGTAAGCATAAAACAACCTTCGGCGTCTACAAAACCGGTAACAAATCAAGGTAAAACTAGAAATTTGTTACTGCCTTTATTTTCGCAAAGCGGAAATATAGCCTCCTCCCTGCCTAGCTGAGAAGTCATAGTTTTGTTTGTAGTGTTTGAGGTTGAAAATAGTTGTGATTGAATAATCTGTTTAGAAGGGATTTTGATTATAAGATTTCTTTCGAAACCTCGCAGAATGCATCTTAAACCTGGTGTAAGAACAGCAGGTCAATTACCGTACACTCGTTGCTCTTTTACAGATAACATACCTGATTTAGATCCGCGATTGTCCATTTTGTTTTCACAAATCTTAAGGCTTCTTACCTTACCTGAGTAATTAGTTCAGCCACTGATAGTTTTTCAACTACAGCTTGGTACCTTAAGCTTTAGGAGTTCCCCGGAGTTTGATAATTTTACCCGAATTAAAGATTTCCCAGATCTTTTTGCAGGTGATCAGAAGTGAAAAGGAGCCGCACTAACTTTAAATAAAAATCCAATACTAAAGATTAGCATAGAAAAATTGATATAATCATCTCTATACCAGGCCAGCGTAGCGGAATTTTCAGCTCCTACCACTTGACTATTAGTCAAATCACTAATACTAGTTATTACGTATAAACTATCCATATTTGTTGTACCTGAGTTAGCATATAGTAAGCTAGTACCTAATAGGATAAAACATGAACTAAGTCCACCTAATAAAAAATAGATTAAACCACCTGTAGTAGATAATTCAGAATTACGGTAAATTGTACTTACTAAGTATAATCCATAACTTTGTAACTCAATAGAAAGAAATACTGAAATGAAATCATTAGTTGACATCAAAAAGACCGCTCCACTTATGATAAATAATAATATTAACGTTTATAACCGGATCTTTAAAAATTCTAAATAAATAAACAACTTTTAAGCTACCCTGCTGTTGAGGGGGTGAGTACATCTAGCCTTTAAATTATAGCTTTATAATTTAACTGAACCTAGCTAACCATTATATTAACACAACTACCGAGTATACATTGCGTCCTTAATAGCTTTTATTAACACGACTCCTTCTGAAGTTAAGTGCATTTTTTTTTCTATTAAATAAGATGCTTTTTTAAATCTCTCGAAATCTAAAACTTTTACACCTGAAAGAGTAAATTTGGTTAAAAATGGAATTAGCTTTAGGTTAATATCAGCGGAGTTGGCAATAACTCATTCAGCTGTACCACGACTATGGGATTTTCGGATTTTACCGCAACCTAAGTAATTAACGAGTCTCTCTAATAACTCTATATCTCTAGCATGTTGACTTAAACTAAATACTAGACTAACCGCAAACCCTGCTTTTCTTTTCTCGTTAGAATAAATAGAAATAAAAAAGGATCCCTCCGCGGTTATAAGTCCCGAAAGTCAAAAAGGATTTAAATTAGTAGCTACCTTAAATTCAGGTTCAACCGCGGGAATAATATCGGGATATTCGGTTTTTATAAAGGCTGGTAACCCTTTATTCAAAATAGCTCTTAGTGAAAAGATTTTTAATAAACCAGGTAAAGATTTATGTTCTCCTTTTTCCATAAGAAGAACTATCTCCTTGAATACTAAATAATCTTTTAACTTAAGAGTAGCTAAGGGATATTTATCAAAATGAGGTAAGATATATTTTATTATATCTTTAGTAGAACTCACAGTGTAGTAAACTATTCCTCTTGTACTAGTATAAATCTTACCTACTTTAAAATAAGCTTGGATTTGGACCAAAAGATCTAAATCTTTTGGGTCTAACCCTATGGTAAAAATAGGTTGAATTTTTCAGCCTGTACCTGACTTTTTCTTAGCAATAGAAACAGTAAATGAAGCATCTCCATCTGTAAACCCCGTTATGAATCAAGGGTTTAAACTAAAACTATCTTCATATTTATTAGAGAATACGGGTTGAATAAGATTTGCCTTAGGTGCAGTAATTGAATATAGTCTTTTATTTAGAATTTTATTAGGATAGATTCCGGTTAAGGTAATTCTTTCGAACCCTCTTAGAGTACACCTTAATACTAAACCGCTACTCTTTAGCTTAGTATAACTACCGTCTACTCGTTGCTCTTTTACAAACATTTGAATGTTTGATTTAGATCCGCGATTGTCCATTTCTCGAGCTTGTAGCTCGACAGCGTTGGGATTAAAGATCCCTATCTCACTTTTAGTGCACATTAATCTGTGTAAGTGAGGCGCCATCTTTTGACTTGTTACCATACGTGAATAATTAGTTCACCCACCACGGAAAAATTTTTCCAGATTTGGTATCAAAAGCTTTAGGAGGTCCCCGGAATTTGGCAGTTTTCCCCTTAATATAAACAACTTTCCAGGTTGTGGTCGTCCAGGGTATTCAATTATTT